TCTTGCCTTTTAAATTAAATTGATGCTGAACATGATCTGAGGGCTCATTCTGATTAATAACAGAAATATTGTTAGTAAATGGAAAGGAGAGGCAAAATCATTTACATAAAATAGAAGTAGAAAACACAGGCATAAGAAGGGAATCATTCGTATGGGTTTTATGACTCGTATTACAAAGATAAGGTAAGAACAAAAGTTCAGGAGATTCATGAGAACAGAAGAGAGAAATGCTTTTTTTTTTGTTGGTTTTAAGTATTCTTTTTATTTTCTTTTTTTAAATTTCCTTTTGTTTGTTTGTTTTTGTTTTTTCAAGACGGGGTTTCTCTGTGTAGTTCTGGCTGTCCTAGCACTCACTCTGTAAACCAGGATGTCCTTGAACTCAGAGATCCACCTGCTTCTAGCTCCTGAGTGCTGGCATTTAAGCCGTGCACCACCACTGATGGCATCAGTTTTAGGTATTCTCGTTCTTCTATTTTCTTTTAAACAATTCATTTCCTTAAACAGAAAAGGTGGCCTTTTGGGGAAATTAGGTAAACAATATATTGAAGTTAAAAATTCGTTTTATTTAATTTTGGTAAACAATACTTTGAAGTTAAAGATTCTGTTTTATTTACAAGGGAAAAGTGACCTTAAAGTTTCTAAAATTGCAAAAATTAAGAACAACAGACACTTACTAAATATAAAAATGTCCACCAGAAAGAAACTCACTGTAATACTAATAACTATAGCACCAGACTCTGACATCATCTGTGGATATGGCTGAGGACTTTGAAACAAAGTACTGGGCAGAAGCTTATATACTGCAACAAAATGGAAGCCCACATTACACCACTCATTGGATGTTTTCACAGTAGGATCTTCAACATGATGTAGCATAGCCCCAAAAGGGGACTTCTCGTGCTTGTTATTGGGGCTTCTGTTCGGGATCTATGGCTCTTCAGAACCACTGTAGCACAGGTGGGGAAAATGCTTAAACGATATGTGTGTATATGCAGACTTCCAAAGGTTATAAACTACTGTTGTTGCTTTTCATTGTCTCCCTGTAATGGAAGGTAAGTCCCCACGGCCAAAGACAGCATATGCTTTTGACACAGGACCCAGATATGAGCTGAAAGGCTCTTCCCTAAGTTACTAGCTTTCACGGTACTAGAAGGTGCCACGCAAGCCCCTCCAAGGAAGAGGGTAACTCATAGTCCTACCCAACAACAAAATCCAGTAGGGTACATTAGCTCTAAGGATGAAGGCACATATAGTGTTGGCTGTAACTCACAGCTCAATAATTGTAGGCTCTTCTCAATACAAGGGAAACCATGCCTGGTACTGGAAACCTAGCCAACTACCCAGGGCTACTGAAGTCTTGATAACCTACAACTATCATTTTACTAAGCCTGCTTTATTTCTACTGCATTCCAAATACTTTCTTTATGCCAACAGAGAAGTGTAGCTCTCACCTCTTATCAAAGAAATTGCTTTTTGCAACAGACGGAGACTACTGCAGAAAACTACAACTGATAAAAATGCGGAGAACAAGTGATGGTGTGGCACCCAACACCAACTGATACACACACACACACACACACACACACACACACACACACACAGACAGACAATTTTACAACAACTGTACTTAAGCTCAGGGAGCATTATAGAAGAAAAGCAGAAAGACTCTAAGAGACCCGGGACCAGGAAGACTGCAGTTTGATTGTATTTCCTAGAAATGTAAGCAGAACTACTCTCATGGAGTCTCATCAACATGGCTGCCTAAACAACATCTGAACAAAGAAGACAGGACCAATAGACATGCTAAGCTGGAAGGGGGAATACCAACAGGGCCCCAACTTTAGACAAAGAACTACAGGCAGCTAAGAACTGCTGAGAGAAGGAGAAATAGTCTACCCCAAAGAATGGACCCACAATTTGTTATCCAATAGCAAGTAGTCAGTCCTGAAATTATATATATACAAGTCATATTATTTGTATTCAGCAGTTTGTATTTATATATTTAAAAACACAACAACAATAGCATAAATAACAATGAAATAGAGTCAAGAATTTGAAAGAGAGCAAGAAGGTAAGTGGGAGAGGCATTTGGAAGCAAGAAAGGAAAGATATAAATAATGCAATTATATTTTAATGATAAAAATAAGAACTATTTAAAAATTTACCTGAATTTGCTCCATGAGAGGAGAAAACAGCAGGAGGATCTATTTGAAGGCAAAGTCTTAAAGGCAATTCTTACATTTTCCTTGAAATAACATATTATAATAAAATCAAGTTAAAGATATATTAAAGTGCTCCTGCAACCTCACAGCTTGCTCCAATAATGAGGGGACTTAAGAGGTGAGTGGACAAGGTGTGATGCCCCACTCTCTAGGACCTCCACAGTGGGATAAAACCCCAGGACTCTCCCCCAGCTCCCTCGGCTTTTCTAGCCAGCCAGCAGGGACTTTTTTGTGACTAGGATCCCCCCAAACCCAAACCCATCCACTAGACCCTCCAAACTACTAAGTGCTGAGAGCTTGCTGTAATACTGAAGGGATCAAGAGGTTGCAACAACACTAAGGGGATTAAGAGAGAGCCCCAAGAGAGCAAACGAGGAGAGAAGACTAGGAGAGCAGGCTTATAGAGACCTCAGAGGCTTTCTGAGACAGACATTGACAGTACAGAGCAGGTCAAGAAAAACTTCCAAACACTTAGAAAGCCACTACAAAGATTGGGCGAAGACGCAAAGATAATGCTAGCCTCATTTGAAGGAAGAGATGTGTAGGTGCCAATTAAAGAATTCCTCTAATGGCCTAAAAAGCAACATGGTAACATCAGAACCCAGTGGTCACACAACAGGAATACTTGATCATCCTAACCCAGAAGAAGTAGAAGAAAACTACTTTAAACGTAACTTTATGAAAATGACAGAGACCTTTAAAAAGGAAATAAAAAACTCCCTTAAAGAAATGAAGAAGACAACCAAAAAATTGGAAGAAATTAATAAACCCCTCAAAGAAACCTAAGAAAAAACAATCAAATAGTTATAAAACAAATTGGCTCATTAGCTCAGGCTACTTATTAGCTCTTGTAGCTTATATTAACCCATTATTTTTAATCTATGTTAGCCACATGGCTCAGTACCTTTCACAGCAGGGTAGGTCACATGTTGCTTCTTCAGTGGTCTGGACTGGACTGCGGAGCAACTTCCTGCTTCTTAGAATACTCCTGTTCTCATTGCCCTGCCTCTACTTTCTGTCTGGTTGACCCACCTATACTGGACAATCAGCATTTATTTAAAGCATGATTCACAGAATACAGACAATTCTCCCACACCAAGCATTTGTTCAACTATGTTCATAGTAGCATTATTTGTGATAGCTGGAACCTGGAAACTACCTATATGCCCCTCGACCAAAGAATGGATAAAAAAATGTGGCACATTTACACATTAGAGTACTATTCAGCAGTAAAAAACAATGACATCTTGAACTTTGCATGTAAATGGATGAAATTAGAAAACACTTTCCTGAGTGAGGTAACCCAGACCCAAAAAGATGAATATGATATGTACTCACTCATAAGTGGATACTAGCTATAAACAAGGACATTGAACCTATAGTTCATGATCCTAGAGAAGCTAAGTAATAAGGTGAATCCAAAGAAACACATATGTAGACCCACCTGGAAATTGCAAACAGACAAGATCACTTGAAAAAATTGGGAGCAGGGGGGGTTGGGGAAGAAAGGAGGGGAAAAGAGGAAAAGGAGGGCAGAAGAGGAGGGTTGAGGAGAACTTGAGGGAATGGGATAGTCCAAATGGAAGAAGGACAGAGATGAAAGCAAGGAAAAAGATATCTTAACTGATGGAGCCACTATAATGTTAGCAGAAACCTGGCTCTAGAGAAATTCCCAGGAATCCACAAAGATGACCCTGCCTAAGACCTAAGCAATAGAGGAAAGGGGGTCTGATCTTAACTTGACCTGTAATCAGACTAATGATTATCTTCAATATCACTATAGAACCTTCATCCAGCAACTGATGGAAACAGAGGCAGAGACCCACATCAGAGCACTGGACTGAGCTCCCAAAGTCCAGTTAAAGAGTGGAAGGAATGAGAATATGAACAAAGAGGTCAAGACTGTGATGGGTTCACCCACTGAAACAGTTTACCTGAGCTAATAAAAGCTTACCAGCTCCAGCCGGACTGGGAAGGAACAAGCATAGGACCAAACTAGTCCTTCTGAATGGGGTTGACAGTTGCATGCTTGGGACAGACTGAGGGGCCACTGGCAGTGGCACCAGGATTCATTTCTACTGCATGTACTGGCTTTTGGGGATCCTAGTCTCTTTGAATGTATACCTTGCTCAGCCTAGATATTGTAGGGAGGGCCTTGGACCTTCCACAAGGAATGTGCCTTACCCTCTCTGAGGATTAGACGAGGTTGGGGTGGGAGAATGTGTGGAGGGAATGAGAAAAGGGAAGGGAGTGGAAACTTGAATTGGTAATTTTTAAAAAATCTAATAATTTTTTTAAAAGAAAATAAAAGGGAAACCAAACTGGGATAAAAAGATATGTTAAACATAGCCCCTTACTACAAGCTAACAACCAAAACTGGTGTTTATTAGTTATCATATTTAGTTAGCCTCAAAAACTCTTCAAAACTATTATGTGATATCTTTCTTCCCTGTACAACCAAAACCAGTTCAACCCATTCAGGTAGTTAGTAGATGATAGATAAGAAGTAGATATTTGAACCCAGGCAGTGTGTGTTTAGAGTCCTCTCTTGACTGTGTCTGCATAGCTATAAAAAACCTTACCTACATATGGGGCCATCGGGGCTGTACTTATTGTTAGAAATGCAATGTGATCAAGTTCAATAAAGATCTCTGCCTTAAAAAAAAGAACTAAACAACAAAACCAAACACAGACGTATAACACTGGCTCTCATTTCACAGGTGATTGTCTCTGGAGTCAAACAATGATGTTCTTAATATAGGCTTTTAAATGACCTACCATTGGACAAAGCAAGCTGGACCCTATATGTTATATGCAGTTGTCCTTAACCTTCTTGTCTTTCAGAGCTTGGTCCTTAGTGTGTTGTTGTTGAGAAGTGAGACTTTTAAGAGGTGGGTCCTGATGAGACGTCCCTGTGTCATTTGGAGGGTGACACTGACACCCTATGGGAATGAGTTGCTAGAAGAGTGAGCATGATCTCTGACTCCTTATGATGACCTGTGATCTCTCCATTCTTTTTGGTCTGCTGTTATGATGCTTCATGCTATGAGGTCCTCTCCATAGCTGAGCTGTGCTGGCACATTATGGAATCTTCAGAAACGCTCATTTGATCTTCAAATGGTTTGTAAAGGAAAACAGACTAATGTACAACATCAGTTGGTATGGTCTCCTCGTGGTTGTAGGAAGAAGTTAGGCAATGTCTCCCGAACAGTCATTCAAACTGTCATTTTTAAATCCCTGGCAATCATCACAAAATAAAATAAAAATAAAATGAAGAAATAAGACAAAGACAAATTATGAGAATTCTCCAAGCACACAAAACTAGCTAGTTTCCATAAAGGAAAATCACCTAGGTTTGTTTGGAATGCAGGTTTTTTTTTATTGGTGTATATTTATTGGACACAATACTGGGTCTCAGGGGGCAGTTTTACACAGTACATAATGGACATTGATCGTCTTCATCTTTCCCACCCACTTCCCTTTGTTAGCCCCCCCCACTCCCTTAGAGCCCTCGGTCTCCTAGGCAATTTAACTTCTACTTTCATGTTGTACACAGAATTTTATGAAAAAGCTAGGATCTAGAAATAAGAGAAAACATGCAATATTTGTCTTTCTAAGTGTGACTTATTTTACTTAATATGATAATCTCTGATCGTATCCATTTTCTTGCAAAGAAAACAATTGAGCTCTTCTTTATGGCTGAATAGTGGAATATAAGTGATTTTAGGTGATTTCTTATAAATGCCTCTCATATCCACAAGAAAAAACAATCATAAAATTTAAGCTATTTCTCTGAAATGGCTTAAGACAATCACTTTTAACCAATCTCGTGCTGTTTAGAAACCCCTACTGTAATAGTTAATCATTGCAAAAACAGATATCCTCATTTCTGTTCTACAAACCATGTGCCTATAAACCAAGTGAGTCTCTCATTACTTTCATTTGGAGGTCTCCAATATTGCGATACATAATTTTTCTTTTTCATGTATATTTGTGTATGAAGGACATGCATGTGTATATGCATATTCATGTGTGTATGTGTGCACGCACATGCTTGAAGAGGCCCAAGGTTAATATGGGATGCTTCTTTGATGATTCCACCTTTTTCATTAAGACAGAATCTCTCTATTGGACCTGTAACTCACTGACTGGTTAGTCTAGTGAACCTGCTTGATCTCATCATCCCTCTCTCTGCCTCCCTAGTGTTGGAATTACAGGCAGTTCACCGCTCATACTTGGGCACTTACATGAGTTCTGGTGATCTAATTCGATCCTGATGTTTGCTGCACTCAGTGAAATCACTTTAAGCAGGGAGCCATCTCTCCATCCCAACTTGTAATTTTTTACATGACAACAAGCTTCATGTTTTTCCCAACTTTATCTGACTTTGGTTTTGACACTATCAAATGAGATTTAGGAGCAGGGAACATGTATTATGGAAGGTAACTCTAGCTGCTGGAGTGGAGAAATCGTCAATTCTCAACAGTTTTGCATGATAAGAATTTATTAGCATTACTTATAGTCATGGAATCTGGGCATCACTTTTATATATCCATTCATGGACTCAACTAGATCCTAGTATCCTTCTACTTACTTTAGGGCCTTACTGCTCCATCCTAGCCACAGATGCAAAATGAGGGTGGGAGGTGAAAAAGGAGCGTTCTTATGGGCCAAGTCAGGAAATGACATTCATTACTCCTATTGCGTGTCACTCTCACAAGGCCACTTCAAATTAAGAGGGGTGGGAAAGATGCAAGCAAGATTCAATGAGAGCATATTGCCTATTCTTAAAATGGGTAGCAAAAGTACTTTAGAAAAAAAAGTAAGGCATTCAAATAGATACAAAACAACATGTGTTTTGCTGAAAGAAGGATAGCCCAAATTAGGAAGATGGTAGTTTTAGTTTATCTCTGAAATGAAGATTAAAATAAAAAAAAATAAAACTAATCTTGGCATGAAGTCACAAGCTTACCGTACTTGATCCTCTAAACTGTTAGCTTTGGAGATGCTTTGAAGTCTGTTGTCAGCCATTGGGTGCAAGAAACCATCCATACGGATTCTGACACAGATTTCAACCTGCAGAAATAAACTTGGAGTGGGAAAGACCATAATTTGCACTAGAGTCAGGCAGTTAATTGTACAGATAAGAACATGTTCAGTTCCAAATCAAAGGGCATCTTCTGAAAATGATTTTGTGCTGCTTTGGTTTTCCGGGGGGCGGGAGGGAGGTACATTTCTAACCATTTTGTGTGAAAGTATACTGTTTGTCTTCATGCTTTCAGAAAATTCACATCTTCCAAAATTAGTGTTCACCATTCCCATGGGCCATAACCAGCTAAAATTTTCCACCATCCATTACCTCATGTTCTCTTCCTTTTCTCTTTGCCCATTTAAAATATACAATTACTCATAAAAGACAGAAGAGGGAAGAGTAAATCTATTCTCCTCTAGTGTCAAATCGAACCCAATTTAGAGGCAGAGTTGCAGCTATACTAGGAAAATAAGTACTCAAATAAAGGTGTTAATCATGACATGACTCACCAATTACTAATACAATTATTATAAGGTTTGTTGCAGTGAATACAAGTTGAATTACATTACATAAAAATTTCTATTAAATGCAAAATTGATACCTCTTGCCTTTTCATTTGTTGGATCCTGAAGCATCTAAATCACATCATGTAGTTGTCAGTTTTCAATCATTATTTATGTCAGATTTTATGACATTATTTATGTCAAATATGTAATTGACTAATGAGAGCCAGGTATTCCCCATTCTCTTTAGAACACTCAGAAGAGCTGCTTTTGTAGCTAGCATTTTGACAAGTAATTTTTGTGTCAAAAGCATATTATATTGCAGCATAAATCACTGCTTCAGGCTTAGCATGCATGTTTTTTTTTAAGGGAGATAAAATCTTGGTCCCACTAAAGTGAAGCACCCACAAAACAGAACAAAACAAAACACCGCCCCCAAACGATTATATCATCCTCCACCCAAAACATTTTAGTTCAATTTATATTTTCCTTATGCAAGCTATCCAAATTTGAGAATGTGGGTGAACCATTTTTTTTGTGTCAATAACATAATTGTAGTGACAACTCCATGAGAATTCTTGCTTTAACTGATTTAATTTCGTGAGAGTGCCCGTGTCTTGTACCTTAACAAAAACCATCTGTTTTGCAATGGCTTCACACCTGATGTTGTATTCAGGAATTAGAGCTTTTTTTTTTATTTGACTTTAATGGCTCTGAGAAATTTATTTATTTATTTATCTTCTACTTTTTTATCTTTTGAGTAAAACTACTGGTTGATGGGGCAGAACGCTGTCTGGAGTTAAAGCAGCTGTGGTCTCAATATTCATATTTTCCAGCTGAGATAGTGACATCACTGTGGGTAGAAAGAAAGGAAGAAATCAGCTTGTGAGACATTATCATTCACCTCCGACGTGCACAACAAATCCAGCTGTCCCAGCCTAACCCTCACCATAGATAAAGGGAAGATATAGGGCATTACGTAACATAGCAAAGGAGAAGAAAGCAGCGTTTATGGTTAAGGGGTTTATAGTATTTTAGTAATAGGTATTATTAAAGCAAGGCAAATCGATTACTGGGTGGGAAGATTGCAAAGAGCTTCTCAACATGTTGAAACAGAGTCTCAACGTGTAGAAAATTGGACATTTGCAGTGAACAATGTATTGGGGTAAAAATGCTTTCGATAATGACAGCATGGTGTAATATTTTATTTATGTTTGCTTTTATATATTTATAGATGTATTATATATACATACACTATCTATATTTCCAACCATATATATATGTATATATATATGGTTGGAAATATTTTCTCCTTTCTTTTTTTCTTAGCACCTCTTATTTTAGGAGAAGAACTTGGCTTATTTTGAAGACTATGTCACTCTACCCTGTGGTGATATTTTCTTTGAGATGCTGTAACAAAGGAAGTTTGCCTGAAGATAAAATTTTGTAGCTAGCCACAGTAGTTAGCCATAGAAGCCAGGCAGTGGTGGCAAACACTCAGGAGACAGAAGCAGATGGATCTCTGTGAGTTCAAGGCCATCCTGGGATACACGAGATTGAATCAATCTAAAAGAAACAGAGCCAAGCAGTGGTGACTCACACCTGTAATCCCAGGACTAAGGTGGTGAAAATGGGAAATGATATGGCTCTGTGGGGAGAGGAATATAAGGTGGAAGGAGACAGGCGCTCAGATTCAGTATGAGGTTTTGTAGAGAAGGCATTCAGTCTGAGGATTCCTAGAGACAGGATTACCCACTTGGTAGGAGGATTCTGTAGAGGTGAGAACTAGTGGCTGACTTCTCTGCTTCTCTGATCTTTCAGCATTTACTCCTATATCTGACTTGGGGTTTTTATTATTAAGACCAAGTAGAATTCATGCTATACCTCCTCTCATTCATGTGGCACGAACCAGGATTCTAACCACAGTGGTTGCTAGGTACAGGTAAGGAGAGATGGTCTTCCCCATGCTAGGTACTGTTCCAGGTGCTGGCATACAGTGCTGAGAACGAAATATGCAAAGCATCTATCTTTGGGGCATTTATGTTTTTGTGACAGAATATGGGAAGTAAAATGCAATGAAAATACAGAAATGGAGCTTAACTGGAGATGGGAAATACGACTAGCACAGAAAATGTGGCATGGGGAAGGAAGATGGTGGTGCTGGCTGGGTCTGTTTTTACAACTTTTGGGGATGGTGAGACTGGGCAGACTTGATAGAGACAAGGCAGTGAAACATGAGTAGCCTGGTCATCTAATAACATCTCAAGTGGGGCGCTTAACGGACCGTGCTTTGTATTTGGGGAAAACACATGTATCAGGTAAACGAAGATGTCTTATGGTCAGCCTTGATATGAAGGGTCTGGAAGACCTGCTCTAGGCAGAGGACAGAGAACAGGCCACGGGCAGCAGTGTACCTCGCTGGCACAAGCAGGCAAAGCCACTGTGCTAGAATCGGTGAGCTAGTGTGCCTGGAGACTGAAAAGAATGTCAGAACTCTCATGACCTGAAGGCTGAGCTAAGGACTCTGAGTCTGAATGAATGAGGGGTCATTGGGGGGTTTTATCAGAGGAGGGACATTATTTGAAAGGATCATGAGGGTGGGTGGCCTAGACAAGAAGCAGGGATTTCCTGCAGAGGCTTTTTGTAGAAAGTCGGATGAGAAAAGCTTGAGTGGGTTAGAGCAACACCCATGGAAAGAAGGGCCAGATAAAGGGCAGCTAGACATTTGTTGATGGATTCTCACAGGTGTGTGAGAGAGGAGGATGGAGAATGACTCAGGATGCTTGAGCGGTACAACACAAGGATGTAACTGCCATTTCCTGTGATGATAAAGATACTGGTCTGAGCAGGACTTTCTCTGAAGCGTTGAATTAACTACAGGATGTGCAAAGATGTGTTTATAGGTACAAGGAGTCTATAAAGTAATCAATATGTACTTCCAAGTAAAACTGATGTTCTGTGAGCACTGAGAGTGGAGATGTTGAAGATGGGATGTCCGAGAGCACAGCAGCCATGGCTCAAAAGGAAACGAGGTTTAGCAATCAAGACCAATTTTTGGTTTAGACCACCTCTTCTTATCTTGACTATACCAGAAGCCCAAGCTTGGGCCCTAATGCTTCATCTTTCCTGTGCTCTCCAAATGCGTTCTTTAAGTAATTAAGCATAGATTTCTGCTATATCTTTCAGCATCTGACTTGATGTCATTTTTGAAGATTGAAGTCGCCGATGCATGTGATCCATCCTCCCAGAGTTTCTTCAGTGCTCTGGGGGCGTATCTAGTTGCAACCCATAAAACTCTAGATGTTCTGCTAAAGTTGCTCCATTTAGACTTTCTTGTTTCTTAACATTTTCTTACCTTTTTTGTCATTTAAAAGTTGACTTATTTGTTCTCTTTTATTTCAAAAATAATATGTGTGAATTGCAGCCTATTCAGGGAGTACATATGTACTGCAAGATGAGAATCTTTCAGCAAAATATAAACTGCTTATATTTTGGGGTATGCGAAGCTCATAGCACATATACACAGTTCTCACTTAAGTGAAATTATGTTGCACATTTTATTTTGGTGACTCACCATTTTCGCTCATTTAAGGTCATCTGGACAGATTAACGGAAGCATAGGAAGCATAATAACAGTGTGATTGTTCCACGTTACGTCTGTCATCTGTTAACCTTATACCATCTGCCCTTAGCAGAGGGCTATTTCTTCTTTGTGTCAGCTCCAAGTAACTAAAAAAAATCCATTTGGGGGGAACATTATTTTTGGTACATCTCAATTCAATCTAGAAGTTCAGCCATTGCCACGATTGCTGGCAGGTCTAAGTGATTTGCTGACCTTCATTTGTACTTTATTTCATGCTCATAGTGGTCATTTCTGGCTGTATACTGTACACCCAGTCTCCCTTCCTTATTGAAAGATTCATTTTTGTTTAATAATTGCTGTCTGCTCCTCATAGACCACCATCCATGTGCCTAAGCAATTCTGCTTATGTTCACTTTTCCCCCCTTCTTTCCTTCCTTTCTTTTTAAACTGTGTGGGTAGTATGCACATATATATGGAAGCACATGTGTTTAGAGTGTGCGTGCATGAAGATGCCCAATGCTGATGGCCAGCAGTTCTCTCTCTCTCTCTTTCTCTCTCTCTCTCTCTCTCTCTCTCTCTCTCTCTCTTTCTCTCTCTCTCCCTCTCTATCTCTCCCTCTCTCTCCCTTATTCACTGAGGCAAGGTCTCTCAGATGAACCTGTGGTTTGCTAGTAAGTCTAGTCTGACAAGTTCTAGGGATCCCCTTACCTCCTGGGTAAGTTGGCATTATAGACAGGGAGTTGCATCCACCTGGCATTTATGTGGGTTCTGGAGATCACACTCTAGTTTGTATGCCTGTGTGGTGGGCACTTTGAACACTGAGCAATCTCCCAGCCCTAGTGTACTTTTTACATTTTTTTAAATTTAAAATATAACTACATTATTTTCTTCCATTCCCTTTCCTTCTTCCAATTCCTCCTATCCTTCCACCCACCTCTTCCTTGGCTCCCCGTTCAAA